AGAACTTTAAACGGATCGTGTCCAGCACTGCACAACCATGCGGCAATAGGCTTACAGAAGATCGCTCGTCAGGTCTCACACGACGACTGTAGAAGTACTCTGAGAGAGGAGTTGGGGCAGGTCCTGCCGCTCAGGAAAGTGCTCGCAAAATACGATCCTCCCAAAGTTCTTCCTCTTATGCGACCCCTTTTTCCTTCCTGTCACCTTTCAGAGGTTTTCCCCAACATCCTACCACTTTATCAGGAATTTTTGTGGTTTCCCTGTATAGGACTATATTGTATAGGATTTGTATAGGTCAGTAAATTGTATAGGACTTTGGTTGCGTCACGGCCGCGGCAAATAATAATTCCAAGACTAGTAATACCCATTGGGCTCATTCATCGGGACAAATTCGTTATTTTCCAGCCAGCCTGTATCCACTGAAGTCGTGCTTTGCAGGATAATAAACCACGTCTGGGATCTGTCCACATTTCTCACGGCATCACCGGGCGACTGTAAACTGTTCAGTACTACACGATGCATATTTGTCCGAACACCGATAAATCTCACAATGTATTTGGCATATTCCAGCACTTTCATGTTGTCTGTTGAAAGGTAAGTTCAGTAGAAAACTACATAACTATAAGCACGTGATCTGCTCAAGGCAGTGGTTAACGGCGCAGTTCAGCGACGGGGGGCATTTTGCACTTTCACTGCTTCACTGGTTCCAGTTTACAAGTCTCACTCTGGTGAAACCTGTGAACTCTTGTGAAGCTGGAGCAAGCTCGTCAAGCCATCATGGTAAAACCTGTCAACTCAAGAAGGGCTGTCTAGATGGGTCGACACGTCGATGGGAAGTAGCAAAAGTGCAAAATGCCCCCCCCCCGTCGCCGAACTGCGCCGCAATAAACTATGGATTACAGGTGCATTGCCACACGAAAACTGAGCAGTTATGGCAAGAATCGGGTAGTTGGACCGGTGCTGGTTGCCATACAGGTCAGTGGGATGTCTGTTGTACAGAAATATCAATTTCAGGCGTTGAAAAAAATTCATCAGAAATGAAATCAGTGCTCATGAAATGGAAAGAAGTAAAGAGGTGTTTATAATGCTGCGAATCAGAAAGTTGAACATTTTGAACCTTCTGGGCTGAAATACTCTCTATAACCCAAAAATACGAAAGGCGTGTTGCCTACATTAGTCGAATGTGCGTAGGGCGTTTGTTTCTTTCCCTGGAGTCGTTCTCTGTCGCAACTCCT